ATTTTGTTAAGAAAAAAAAAAAATCGCAACAGGTCTCAGTTTAAAAATAAAGTCATAATTTATAAAAATTTTAAGTCTTCTTAAACATCTTGCTTTTCTTATCCATTTGATCTCTCTAGTGTAGTAAATTTTAATTACGTCAGAAAAAAAGAACTTGACAAACATTTTTCACTAAAAATACAAATTTCAATCTAAAAGAGTATCGACTTTTAGAAAAAAAAAAAAACAAAACTTAGACAATTTATTATTATTATTGATGTTCGATAAAATAAATATTTCTTTAGGTTATATATATAATTTTTAATTAATAAAATGATTTGTTTCTTAATTCTTGTGTTACTAAATTATAATAAAATTTTTAAATATTAGAATTATTCATTTACATATATGTATTTAAATAATTAAATATGAATTAAATTACTGTAATTATTTTTTCATTAAAATAAAATATATATATATATATATTTAATATACAGATTATAATAATTCATACAATTTTTTGACTTTTTTATTCTTTAAAGTATTATATTATATTGTAAAAAAGTATTATAAAAATATTATTATACTGGTATAAGAAATATAGTGAGAGACAAATATATACTATATTTTTATTTAATTAAAATAAATTATATATTTGATTCAAAAAATTTGGGTTGTAATATTCATTAATTTGATTATTATTTTTATTATTATTATTATATAATTATTAAACGATATAATGTTTTTATCTTCACTCAGAAAAATGGTATATTTGTCTCCGAGCCTACTAACTCATTTATTTGTTGCAAATATATTTCATTTCATTGAAATAAATAATTTATTTGAGCTAAAGAAAAATTTATTTCTGACAAATAAAATTTTTATTTACGCCAAATAAATAAGTTAGTAGGCTCTGAGACAAATATACGTTTATTTAACTCAAATATATTTTATTTGGTTCAAATAAATCATTTCTCTGGGTGTTGAATATTCAAAGATATTATGGAAAAATAAAAATAAAACAGATACAAAAAACACATTTAACATGTATATATCAAAAAGAAAATATTGTAATATATATATTATATATAATAATTTAAAAAGAATACTTTTTTTTGTTGTTTCAAAAATTTTGTAAAAATATTTTAACGTGATTTTATAATTTGCACGACTGATGCAACATTTCTTTCAACTCATCATCAAGCAATAAATTCAAATGATTAGTCATTTGAAAATTACTATGGGAATATTTTTTATCTTTGTATTAAATATATATCTAAAATAAGTTTTTTGCAATATGATATATTTTTAATCTCAAACGTATTACATTTTTATAATACTTTGATAAAACATAAATTACTTATTATATTTATTTTTTCACAAAAAAGTTAATCTGTTGGGAAAATTTAAAAAAATTTATTACTGTTTTATTCCGCACCATTATTTGATGATTATATCAAAAGATAATTGCAAGAAATTTCATTATGTAATTTGCTGAAAAAAAATTTCTAAATGTCGTTTTTATATTATTTATTATTATTATTATTATTATTATTATTATTATTATTATTATTATTATTAACCATTCATAAAATTTCCGTAAAATAAAATTTTTAATTTTATTATTGTCGAATTTTAAATTTGGAATTTTTTAATTAGAATTCCAACGGAATCCCTGATGAGAATTTTTTTTAGGGAATCTTTTTATCATACGATATATTAAATAAACACAAAATATATGTGTGTGTGTGAAATTTTTGAATATTAAAATTGTGTCAATAGAATTAAGAGTGACGTATAAATCTTATTTAAACAATTATTAATATACTCTAGGTGAAAATTTATAATAATTCTTTATATTTTTTCAAGTAGAGATAATTGTTTATATGAATATTTAAAATTATACGACCAAAAAAAAAGAAGAAAAAAAAAATTCAAATAAGCGTTAAAAATTATTTTTTTTTCTATTATTCATAATTATATTAAATTGATTACTAAAAATAGTAAAATACTTTAATTTAAATAAACGTTTCATAAGATTTATTTTACAGGCTTAAATCCATATAATTTTTTTCAAATTATAATTTATTATCTGATATATATATATATATATATATATATATATCAGTTACACTTTATCGATATGGCTCGATATCGCATTTATAAACTATATTAACTGTAAATTAGAGTAGAAGAAAAATAATAAGAATAATAAATTATAATTTCTTGAAAAATTTTTTTTTTGGGCAAATTTTTATGTTTCGAAACGTTAAAGATGTTTTTGATTTATCTTACCTGTTCTAAAAAATTGTCAAAAAATTTTTTAAAAAATTATATAATTTATTATTAATTTTTGGAACAAAACATTAATGAAGATTTGAAGTATAATAAAATTTTATACAATGTGAAAAAAAAAATTAATTAAAAAACTAATAACTATGAATATTCACTGTTATTATTTTTGAAATTCGTTGTTTTTTTTTCTTATTTTATTATATCAGAGAGAACAATATAATTAAAAATTCATTTTTCTTAGTTTTATAAATTCTGTATATATAAGGAAAAATGAAGTAAATATTTTGGGAATGAATATTTTTAATAGCAACAATAAATGTTTGTTCAATTGGTTATTACAGTAATTAACATTTTGGACTTTATTTTGGGTAAAATTGAAGCCAAACCATGACCTAGGGTATTAAGATGAATATTGCTTCTATAAGTATATAAAAAAAGAAATTAATAAATAATTAATATGTGCATTAATTAATTATTATTTACGTTTATTAATATATAATAATTAACGTACACGAATTAAATATTTATCGTTTTGTCCCACTTTGCAATTCCTTTTTTTTTCTATACTGATATGTAAAAGTTTCGTTACAGTTTTGTCTAACTGAAATTGTCTATGACTACTAACCTTTATTTTGCAATTAAGAATATGGGGCATTCCACGTCAACGAGAGACCCCCCGCCCCCAGAATAGATTTAAATGAAAAAAGTTCAAATACGGCTTAAAATTTAGGTAATTACATCTACTTTAAAATGCAAAGTGGCAAAATAAAAAATTCAAGATGGCGGATCCAATATGGTGAAAAAAGTAAAAAAAAATGCTTGAATTCACTTGAAATTTGTTACTCGGGGGTTTTTAGGGTCGCTAAACACAAATATGAAATCAGATTTTTAATATTAAAAATGGCGGATCCAATATGGTGGCCGATTTTTAAAAATTTTAACAAATTTCAATAAAACGTATCTTATGGTGCTTTGTAGGGTTGTAAAAAGTTCTAAAGGTTTTAAATTGAATTAGAAATTTAGGTAATTACTCCTACTTTAAAATGCTAAGTGTGAAAATAAAAAATTCAAGATGGCGGATCCAATATGGTGAAAGAAGTAACAAAAAAAGCTATAATTCAATTGAAATTTGTCACTCAGGGGTTTTTAGGGTCGCTGAACACTAATCTGACATCAGATTTTAAATATTCAAAATGGCGGATCCAATATGGCGACCGATTTTTAAAAACCGAAACAAATTTAAATAAAAATTGGATTACGAGAGTTCGTAGGGTTGTAAGAAGTTCCAAAGGTTTTTTATTGAGATAGAAATTTAGGTAATTAGACATACTTTAAAATAAAAAATGGCCAAACACAGATTTCATAATGGTGAACCTAATATGACAGAAGAAGTAAAAAAAAATCTTCAATTCAATTGAAATTTGTCCCTCGGGACTAAGATAAATAGGCCTTACTTTTACTAGTTGGATTTTTACCTTTTCCTACTTTAACTAGTTGGATTTTTACCCTTTCTTACTTTAACTAGTTGGAACCTAAATTGATCTTGCCTTAATCGGTTGGACTCTTTATGTCTTACTTTCACTAGTTGGATTTTTATCCTTTCTTACTTTTACTAGTTGGAACCTAAATTGGTCTTGCCTTAATTGGTTGGACTCTATATGTCTCACTTTCACTAGTTGGATTTTACCCTTTCTTACTTTTACTAGTTGGAACCTATGTCTTACTTTTACTAGTTGGATTATTACCCATTTTGAATATTTAAAATCTGATGTCAGATTAGTGTTCAGCGACCCTAAAAACCCCTGAGTGACAAATTTCAATTGAATTATATCTTTTTTTGTTACTTCTTTCACCATATTGGATCCGCCATCTTGAATTTTTATTTTGACACTTAGCATTTTAAAGTAGGAGTAATTACCTAAATTTCAAATTCAATTTAAAACCTTTAGAACTTTTTACAACCCTACAAAGCACCATAAGATACGTTTTATTGAAATTTGTTAAAATTTTTAAAAATCGGCCACCATATTGGATCCGCCATTTTTAATATTAAAAATCTGATTTCATATTTGTGTTTAGCGACCCTAAAAACCCCCGAGTAACAAATTTCAAGTGAATTCAAGCATTTTTTTTTTACTTTTTTCACCATATTGGATCCGCCATCTTGAATTTTTTATTTTGCCACTTTGCATTTTAAAGTAGATGTAATTACCTAAATTTTAAGCCGTATTTGAACTTTTTTCATTTAAATCTATTCTGGGGGCGGGGGGTCTCTCGTTGACGTGGAATGCCCCATATATTTTTTTTTTTTCAAAAATAATTAAACTATGAAACAATTTTTATTTAATAGAAATTAATTTCTAAAATGACTAATTTATTTAGGGGCAAGCACGTGACACACGTCAGGTAGACCCTTAAATTAAAGATTCCATATCTATAGTGCAAGATATAAAAATGTCGAAAGAGAGGTAGTAAAATAAGCCTATACCTAGATGAAAGTTCAACCCACGTGGAATTCCAGTGTTATCCAGGGAATTCCACGTGGCTATTTTCACCAGTCTTGTATCGTTATGACAACAACAAAGAAAGCATTGACAAAATAATAATAATATTATATTGCGCGTGAGTGGGGAAATTGTCGAGTTGTGAGCGAAAGAGGGGCATTTGTAAGTAAAACGGGGGAAAACAGCTGTTGAAGATAGGAAGGAAGTGGTGTTGGACACGTATATACTGTTCGATCAGACACGCGACTTAAAGACTCACTCGCGAGCTGGTGCTTCGTAAAGAAATGAACGTTATTTTCTTGTTTTTTTTTATCACTGCATTATAATGTCAATATATAGTATATCTATATATTCCCTATTATAGTAATAAAATAGTATTTTATAAAATCACCGCCAGAGCTCTCCGATGACTCAAAACGTATATATATAATTACATAACAATTTAATTTAGTCACGTGTGTTATATATAGTCTGAGAGAGGAGACAATTTTTGTTCGTCAGTGTGTAGATGTACTTGGAGCAATAAAGAAGGTCTTTCTCTCTTTCGCGTTTCTAAAAAAGAAGAGTTTCCTTGTTATAAAAAAATTTCATCATTCACACGAAGAGAATGTTGAGTAATTCTTTTTATCATCAACACGTGGTTGACTCATCGTGCTTTTTTCGGATGCTTGATCATCATCATCATTATAGACGATTTCTGAAATTTCGTAAAAATCCCGCGGCGATCAATTCTAAAGTTGTGTTAAGTGTTGAATTGGGCGCGAGTGCCTTCTCTGTTTCACGAGTTCAATGTGTCTAGGGAGTACGCCATCTAGAAAATTTGCAACTTCAGGTTCTACATTATAGTGTGTGCGGGTTTCTCGACAAGGCAGGCAGGCAGCGTGAAACGAGCGGCACATACAGCATCGACGACGCAGGTTTCAAGTTTCAGAGCAAGAGAGAGAGAGAGAGAGAGAGAAAGAGACTGACGACTACTATGAGTTGTTCCAGTGGCTTTTAGTGTGTGAACATCATTTGTATTGACGCGTCGCGAATTTAGTTTTGTTTCCTTTAATTTTCTTTCTTTCTTTGGTTTAATTGGTGCAGTGTCTTTATGAAAAGAAACTTTGAATTCAATATATTTTCTGTGATTATTGAGACTGCGAAACTATATATTTCAGTGACAAAAAAGTGATTGTGAAAAGAAAAAATTTTTTAAAGAAAAGAAAAATGAACGTCGTCGAGCCCGAAAACGTATTTGGTCTGAGACCTCCCGTCCTCATGGTGATTCTTGGATCCCTTGTGCTTGGCGGACTCTTTTTCGCAATTGGCCACATCGTCATTAAACTGGGTCGTCGAAACAAGAAAGAAGATGCCACCAAAAGTAAGCAATCAGTTGCATCATCTTATCTCGATTTATCATTATAAAATCATTATTATTCTCACATTATTTGCAAAACCACACAAATATATATATACATATATATATATGTATTTGTATATACATATATGTATATAACGAAGGCTATAAAATGAAATGCTCCGAATATATAAAGTGTTTCGAACATGATAAATGGTTCAAACATAATGATAAAAACGGCTTTATTAGACAAGAATAAAATTTAAAATTTATAGAACTGAATTTATTATAGTAATAAACATTGAAAAATGTAGAATAATAATATAATGAAAAAAAAAATTAAATCTTAATAAAATTCTCAAGCAACTAACAAGTAGAATGCATAATTGAACTAGATTTTCTCTATTGTGTAAATTTCTCGTAACTAAGTATGAATAATGTAGAAAATAACTATAGTATAGGAAACAAGTCTAACAAGACGCTTTAAAATCATAATTGAAATAGTAGCACAATATTATAATTATTAGAAATTTATTAATTGACTATATTTTAATGATGAAAGGTTGTAGGTTTTATCAATCTCATTGTTCATCTTAAAATGTATTTTATTAAATAATTACTTTTTTTTTTTTAATTATAAAAGATGCAGTTTACCTTTTTTTTTAATTGTTATTCGTTATTATTTATTTAGATTTTATCTATCAATATCTCTAAAAGAAATTATATTTTTTACTTTTAATTATTCATGTTTTTGTTTTTATTTGACATTATTTATTTATAATTTCTTATTTTTACTATTTTCTATTATATTTTTTACTATCACTTTCGTATATTTTTTGATTTTTCATTTCATATTTATAATTAATTATTATTAATTAATTACTATTTTTGTCATTATTTATTTAATATTTGTTATTTATTATCTATTTTTTATTACCTCTATTTTATGATTTAGTTTTCACTTTTTTTCCTATTTTCATTTTTGTTTCGTGCTTTTGTATAGTTTTTAATTTTATAATAAACAATATTACTTTTTATCTAAAAAGAAAGAAATAAAAAAAAAGCCCTGAGAGATTATTATTTTAGCGAGTTTCCTCAATAAAATTGTCTTTTCTATCAAAATGTCTGATTAACGGTGCAATTAAAGTTTATATAATATGACTGAAAGAAAGTTTTATTTATTACAATTAGTTTAGAGAAGGTAATGGATGAAATTTAATGAAAAATGTTAGTTGAACAGCACGCGATTTAACACGTGGTTTTTAGAGAGAACACGCGTTCACTTCTGACCGGTCTCCAAGCGTTGCCATGAAATACGAATGTATATATAGAATTGTATTGATAGTTTCACTTGAAGCAACTTTAAGTGAGATTTTACGTTCTTAAAAAAAGGGTCTTCAAACCCCGCGTGAGCGTTACAGATATCAATACATTATAGTCACTAGCTTTAAATAACTTAGAGAAAAAATTGAAAAAAAAAATTTTTTTATACAATAAAATGAATATTTTATTAATTATTAAATATTGAATATTAAAATTTTTTTTTTCTCGAAATTTTTACATTTTATAATATATACTTTTTTTTTTTTACGAATTATAATAATATAAATTTGGAAAACAATTTTTATAATATCAATAGAACATTTTTCATAAAAGTTATATTAGAAACACTTTGTATAAGAATTTGAAACGCTAATAATTTGCAATAAAATTTCAGTTCGTAGTCTAATTTTAATTTCTATTACATTGTGTCTTTTAAGCATGTGAAATTTAAACTTTCAGTTTGTTTAATGAGTTTGAAAAATGACTTATCATTGTTGACAAAATAAAATTTTCCATATAGGATATATAAAACATGCGAAATTTTGTTGCAAAATATTATGGACCATTTTTTATAAAGATCTTTTTTGATAAAAATTTTGACGATTTATAAATATTTTTTTATATCTTACATAAATGTAGACTAAATAATTTTGTTTTAGTTGATTTTCATTTTTTAATAATCAGAATTTTTTTGAAAATATATGTGAATTATTGTTATAACAAAAATATGTTTATTATACCATTGAGTACACAGTAATATTAAATATTGATGTCACATGAAAGAAGACAATAACAAGTACTATTCTAATTGATTATAATGCGATGTCATATTTATTGAGAAAATTATCACAAAAAAAGATGTAAACCAAGTGAAAAAGTAATTTATTTTTCACCCCCTAAACTTTATATATTTATTCACTGGCATTAACAAGTTCTTATTTTACTTTTAGCTTGTTTTATCATTTTTCATATCTTAAGTATGTCTGCTACATATTTTAAAAACGACTCTATTTAAAAACATTAATGGCTTTATTTTTTTATTATTACAATTATGATTGTTATTTTCTAACAATTATATAGGAGAATATATACAATAATTAACGCTATAATGACATAACAAACTGGAATATATATATATATATATATATATATTGTAGTGCTGAAACAATTTATATAAATGAAATTGAAGAAAAATCAATAGAGTCAACAAGTTATGTAACATTTTCATGGAAAAACAGGGGGGGTGTTTAATATTTAATACAAGACTCTAATTCTGAATTTAGATACATATAAAAAGAATTAAACAATTTTTGTGTTAATTTTTCATAATAATATTTTAATAATATAATAATTAATATATTTAATTAATTATTAAATTAATCATATGAATGTTATCTAATTTATCAATTTTGTTAAGTTTCTTTTTTTTTAAAGTCACTAAAAATAATAATATTCCCTATTAGTTACCTGATTTTTGCTCTAATTCAAGGTAAATTTAATTAAATAATGCACTAATAATAATTTAAATGCAAATGAACCAAGATAAATTATGACAACTTTGTATAATTTTTCAAAAAATTTATGCTTGTTTGTCAAAGCAGCAGATAAATCGCAAAAAGTAAAATTTTAATATTTATGATCTGATATCTCTTTGAAATAATAAAGTAGAGTAATGTATTTACTATTTTCAATTTGCAAAAGAGATAAAGAGGTAACCTTCTTCAAATTTAACATCCTTCAGTACACTGCGCATATTATTGGTTTGGAGAAAAAAATTCTCAAATTTAAGAAATAATGAAAAAAAATATTTATTAATTTACACTGCAAAAAAAAAAATTTATTTGATTCAAATACTCGAATACTTGACTATTATTCAAATAAATATTTACTTGAACCAAATAATTTTTATTTAAATTAAATAAATTGTATTTTAACCAATAATTTATATATTTAAAACAAATACCATCTCAAATAATATAATTATTTGATACAAATAAATATTTATTTGAGAATAATCAAGTAATCAAGTATTTGAATCAAACAAATTTTTTTTTTTCAGTGTATTTTATAAGAAGCATTATGTTATAATGTATATAATATTTGCAGTAATTAATCTTTAAATTTTGTGAAAATTTTTAGTCATTTTTCATTAAAATTTTAGTAAAAAAAAAAAAAAAAAAAAAAAAATACTAAATCAAATAGTAATATTTTACAAAATATAAAAATTACCATTGTTGTATGTATATACGAGCTACACAATTAAAATTTTATCTATCAACTGTATTTGAAGTTAAAGTTCTTAATTTTTTGAAGAGCGTTCTTCTCTGTATAAAAGTACATCTGGCGCACGAACTTTCACTTTTATTGCTTTTTTGACAACTTCTAAACAACATGCACTTCAGGTCAACTTCAGGTCATTTTCAGGTATTAGATTAACTTTTTGTTAACAAAGAACCCTTGCAAATCTGCGTTCAGGTCTTCAACTCATTTCCTAAAATTTTCATAAGTCAAAAGTTTTGAACGTTCAAATGAACGAAATTTTTTTTTCAATTTCTTTAAGTACAAATTTTATTACAAAATTTTGTTTTAAATATCTAAATAGAAGTTATTAATTAAATAATTGTTTAATTTACTGTTTTATTTTAAATTGCCATTATAATTTTTGATAATTTATAAATTTAAAAAAAATATTTCGTTCATTTGAACGTTCAGAACTTTTGGCTCATAAATTTTCATTTTTCATCAACAACTTATATGTATACTGTTCCTTCTGCTCTGGAATCCTTGATGAGTTATTTAATTAATATTATTTAACTTTTATCATGTATTTAAGTTAATTAATAATAAATTAATTGAACTAATAAATTATTTTACATTGAGACAAAAATAAAAATTTTATATTTGGATATATTATTCTAACTTTGTTTTTCTAATAGTTCACGAACAGGAAATTCCAATGTTATATATATATATATACATTTATATTCGCTCCAAGATTCGTTCAAAATAAGCGCGAGCATTTTGTTTGAAAAATAGCTTCTCGTTTGTAATAATAATAATAATTGAATTAAAATTTCGAGAAACTGGAACAAGGTGTCAAAAGAAAGATGAGAAGGGATAACCTCCATTTCAGCTTGATAAAAACGATTTCTCCAACTTCTTTGGAAGTGACGTAGCGTTGTGAAACAACAACTATCGTGAAAGAAATTAATGCAAAAATTTAAAAATTCAAACAGGAAGAAACATATTTATTTGCTTATTTAATGCATTTCATTGAGAATTAATGATTAATTAATTCGTTAGAATTCTAAGATAATAAGGTAAATGCAATATTTATGAACAAAAGTGAGCGTCTTTGATCTTTGTATATACATAACCTAGAGAAATTTTTAATAAAGTATTTTTTTATTAAATAAAAATATATTTGTCTCAGAGCTAAATAACTTACTATTTGTTTCGAAAAAAAAATTGTTTTTTTAATTGTCACAAATAAAATTTTTATTTAAAATAAAGATTTATTTAGATAAAAAAATATTTTTTCCTCTCTTGAGTCTTGTACATATATTATTTTTGATAAATTAATAATATTCATATTATTTTTCATTTTTTCTTGATACAACTTTCAACTTTTATACACCCACAAAAAAAATGTCTAAAAATATTTGAAATTTTTTTTTATTAATTATAATTTAAATTGTTTT